CCCCAAAATCATACGAAGAGGAATACAAACGTTGAAGTAACCGTTTGTATCAATCAGATTTCTGGTATGACTCCTTGTACAGCACCTAAAGCAGGAGGCAATGAGACGTTTACTTTCATTTTCATTGTGAGACGCGTAACCTTTCATTGTTGTAGTCATACCAGGATTACGGACTCGATCAATAACTTTTCCACCCAATTCATATCATATTTCATCAAATAAATGTGTTTCGGTTTAACGTTCTGTTTAATACAAAAGTAATTTTGATGGTTTGTATTAAAAAAGGATTTACGTAATCTTCTGTAGGAATTGGAGAACTAAATGACCACAGTTAAAATCGGTGGGGTTCTGAACACGATTGTAGTTATAAGTGATATCGCAAGGTTCAGCAGATTGTAAATATTGAACCAATTCTTTAGGTGGACGGAGGTTACCAAAACTGTCAAAGTAAATAGCTTTGCTGCTTCGTTTTACATACGCTTCCTGTGTCTAAATTAACAATTCCACTTTCATATCTTTTAACTTTTCTTGGTAATTCGTTACGCATGAAGATTCCACGAAAATGTGGAATTTGTAAATAGCGAATGTAATTGTGTAGATCTAAATCTGTTAGAGGATGATTAGGCAATTTTTAAGGTATAAACCGAAACCTTTACGGGAAGGTTGTATCGAAACATTTTTTTCAAGAGCAATGGTTTCCATTGAAGTCTTATGACGTTTAGCTTCTTCTAGTTGTTGCTGCGCTGATTTAGCATCTTATACAGCGTTAGCAATTCTAGCAGCGCCACCAGAAAAGCTCCAAGTGCCGATAGTCCCGCAAAAATTGGAATTAACGGTAAAAAATCACCTGTCTTTGGAATGGGAATGACTCTAGGATATTTAGATCGTTTTCCAAGTTTTCGAATTTGTTTTAGTGCAATTTTAACAGCCTCTAATAACTGTAGGGGCTTATTTTTCTTAAGAACAATTTTCGCAGTTGTTACTAATTTGCGAAACGGTAGAACTCCTCCTTTTCTTATTCGTTTTCTATTATTTATTCTCGTCAAAGGAATCGAACCACCTTTTTTACTACGATGTAGTCGTCGTCGTTTGTGCCCCATTCTTAGTTTCTCCTTAGTCTTCATAGCCGAAGCAATTGTGAGAGCTGCCAAGCGTTCACCTATAGACGCGTCTATTGACTAGTCTTCGCAAAGATTGATGCGCTAAAAGTTTGTCCGCTATTCGACTTTGGGAAATATCTGGTGAAATTGCGTATACAATATTCGTCGAAAGGATTTATACCGATATCATCTTTCGCTAATCGTTTGTTTAATCGTGTCTCTGGACCACAACCTGGGAGGTGTATTTCAATGGGTAACTTCTATAATATCTATTTAGAACGCCGCGTTTCATGTAATAGGTTTGGTGTGAGTCCTTTCATTATTGCGAACCAACTGACTATATAAGCAACGTTAGCTCTAAATTTATATATCCGTTAACACAGCAAAATCGTTTAATAATGAAGAAACATGCGGATAGTACAACATCCATCTGCTCTACTGATGACCAATCGCGACTTCAACATTGCTGCGAAAATAAATCGTCATGGTCCTTTATTACAATCAACAATAAGATGCATCGTCGCTGGACCTTCAAACTGTGGAAAAACAAATGTGATTATAGGACTTTTGGAGCAACCAAACGGTTTACGTTTTGAAAACGTTTATGTTTATTCAAAGTCGTTATATCAACCAAAATATAAATTTTTAAATGAATTATTACAATCAATTGCTAGAATTGGTTATATTCCCTTTAGAGACTGATGAAGTAATGGGTCCATCAGAGGCGAAACCTGATTCTGTATTCATCTTTGATGATGTTGCGAATGACAATCAGAGTAAGATAAGAGAATATTTTAGTATGAGAAGGCATAACTCAATCGATACTTTTTATTTAAATCAGACATATGCTCAGATCCCTAAACATTTAATTAGAGATAATGCTAATTTAATAAAACTGTTTAAACAAGACGAATTAAATCTGAAACACGTTTTTTCCGACCATGTTACTGCAGATATGACTTTTGACCAATTTAAAAGTATATGTGGAGAATGTTGGAGAGAGAAATTTGGATTTCTAGTTATTAACAAGGATTGTGGTATTGTTAAGAAAAGACAAATATATGTCTGCTATGCATATTAAACACTCTGCGGGTATATCTATACTCGTCATATTATATAGTACAAGAGTGTACGCGTAAATATGTGTTAAGACAAAGGGCGCAACTGCGGTATGTAAGCAGTTTTCTGGAGAAAGGAGTTGCGCCGTTAAGTCTCATATAATTTTTCCGGTATGTAGGATAATTGGTTGAAAGTTGATATTCCAGTATCATCAACTCCAATAAAAATTAGAAAACTTGGTCCTTCGAATGCTCCAGCCATCATACTTCAAGGTCCTCCTTCCTTCTTAAGGGAAGAAAGTGTATATGAAGTTGACCCAAGAAGGGATGACAGTACCTTCACAATGGACAATACAGAAGCTAGTATTTCTACAGTTTCTGAAACGTTAGCACTCCCTGTAGAAGTAGGAAGCAGTACTAAATTAGGTAAAGAACAATTTCTTTGTTCATACAAATATACCTGTCTTAGTGTCTATTATTTTAATTAATTGATGTTTTGCTATGTACTCGTATATTGTGCTAATTGTATTTATTACTGCATTTACACTTTGTTATTAAATTTGTTAATATTATTTTTGTTTTTTTTCAATTTCCAATTAAAACAAAAAAAATAATAAAATTTGGTGTAATTTTGAAATGCGCGCCTTAGGTTACGTTTCATAGTTATATGTATAGATGGCAGTGAATATTCGAATTTTTCTTTGTCTGTCCCATTTATATATATATACCAACTATCGTCTACTAATGTAGGGTAAACTTAGATGTCACTAGATAAATATATTGTGTAATTAGTAATGGTATAGGCAGCGTGGGATTCGTTTGTAGAATATCGTGGTTCGAGAACCGTTCATTAATATTATTTAATGGTATAGGAGTCGGTGCGCTACCTATATTGTATCGCACAGACTTCGGAGCGGACATATCTGAGGACGAGTGGATACAGTCATGGCGATCAGGTTTGAATATTGAGAATAATTACCGACAGTTTTTGCCAGTCAACGGCGAGAGATGCGATAATAGAGAAAGATGAGTAAAGGAGAGTTATGTGCAGCATAAATGTACGTTGGAAAATAATTGCTCATTGGAACATATTCTGAGACGTAGTGTGTGTGATAACATTAACGAATACACGTGTACCGAAGGAAAGGTGTTGTTAAACATACATGAAAATACAACGTTGGTGTTGTGTTACAGTTCCTACGAAGAAGACGGTGTAGGGGAGAAGGTTTGTAAATGTGAGGACGTAATGCTCGTGTTTATATTACATGTTCACGGTAGACATAATCACCATTGTTACGAATGCGGAAGACCACTGACAACAGGAGGTATGTGTGATGCAAGTATACTGCAACCCGGCTTCACAGGAGACTCATCGACAAACGTAAAATTACAGATTGTAGAATTATTGTTAGGTTCTGTAAGAAACGGTACGTATGGATGTGGTCGTAGGACGTCTTCTCCAAACGATGGGAAAAANCAACAGGAGGTATGTGTGATGCAAGTATACTGCAACCCGGCTTCACAGGAGACTCATCGACAAACGTAAAATTACAGATTGTAGAATTATTGTTAGGTTCTGTAAGAAACGGTACGTATGGATGTGGTCGTAGGACGTCTTCTCCAAACGATGGGAAAAAAGGAAGTTGTTGAGTGAGACAGAAGGTACTGGAAAGAGCGGAAATTGTACTGTTTAGTAAACTGGCTTAAGCAGATAATGTAGTAAGTGGGTATTTCATAAATAAATTATAAATAATTAATAGTTGATAGTATGTTATTAATTTACACCACACATAAATTGAAAGGGAGTTTACAGGTAATTCATGCGCGCACACGCCACAGCTTCTTTAAGTGAACAACCATACTCGCGAACATTCGTGGCAGAGATGCGTATTACGTAGGCATGTATTAACTGTGCAGAAACTACATTCCGATGGTTGTTGAGAGGCGAAGAACTTGTTTTGTAGGAGGGTGCGGGGCAAGAGGGGGAGAAGTTGGTAAGCGGAGAGCGTTGTCTCATTCTGTTGTTGAACGTTGAGTGGTGTGAACAGGAAAAATTGAGAAGAATGTTTGATAAAAATGTAAAGAAGCCGGGGGTGGCGAAGTCCCGTTTTGGGAAATTTAGGGCGGGTGCTGTAAGTAGAATGAAATATTTACTGAAATTTTTTGTCTTGTGTAATTTTTTAAAATAATCACGTTTTATTTGCAGTATGGAATTGTTGGAGACGTAACGACTATGACAGAGTTATCCGTTGCCACAACCACCACGACTGTGACAGTGGGTAAGAAGAAGCTGGGGATCCGGCGGAAAAGTGTAGTGACGACGTCTCCGTCGTGGAGCGGTTCGGGCACGATGTCCACTACAAGAACGACGACCCCGGCAGAAACGCTGCCGGCGTCGACGACGACGGCTCCAACATTACAACAACGTGAAGGCCTGGTGGGGAAAGGTACATGTGCTAAAGATGTAACGATATTTCCATATCACCAAAATCACCTCTGCCCGACACCCCCATGACGCTTCCGCAGGAGATGAAGCGTTTAGAAGAATGTCATGGTAAGTGCTCATTACGTGCGAGAAAAGATGGCGGCACTGACGTCAGCTTGGGAGAAGAAGCGCGATACTCGCGGTAACGTGAGTACAGAGCTCGCCCAAGTGCGAAAGTTGCAGGACCATTCTTGAAGACGAGGTCGCTCGTCTTCAAGGAGAACTCCTGCAGCTGGCTGAGAAAGAGACGCAACTAGTGGAAGAAGAAGATAGGTTGCATTTGGATGAAGACGTCCTAGGGCATGAGGTAGAAACGAAGCGTCCAAGGTACGAGCGGCTCTGTGTGGGTGTGCAGAAGCTGGCGCAGCAGTTGGTGTATGTACCTAAAGACCCGAGGAAAGGTGTGTATGAATAGTTAAGTGTAGTTAAGTGTAATGTTAGTTAGTAGTACGTAGGTATGTATGGGAATTATAATTTGTATATGTGTGCAGTAGTAATAATCATGAAAAAAAACAAATCCAAATAAACAAAAGCAAAAAAAACGGGGTAGGTAAAGGGGTGTTAAATGTGGTATTACAGCAAAAAGTAGGGAGTGTACATTAGCTGTAAACAATGAAATATGAAGACAATATTCTCATACTTTTTTGGGTGGGATCATTTTAGTTACCGTTAAACAAATATTTTACAATAGGAACACTTTTCTTCACTACTTCTATTTTTTAAGTGAGTTGGAAAGTGTTAACATTTTGTCAACTTTATTTTTTTTTTGGATTTCGATAATTTAGGTTGGATAGCATCATTTAACAACATACCTTATTGCAAGATTACATCTCCTTATACTTCAAAGAAATTTATAAATGGTCCATAAAAATCCATAGCAGAATGAAGATTCGGGCTATAGGGCCGTGGTCTAAGTGAACTATTCTGTCCAGACGTTTCGTCAGCTACTGCGGCTGACATCCTCAGTGGTAGTGCTGCGTTGACAACGTGAACGTAGATTATATCTCGAAGTCTCGACAGCGACCGTTGGGGGATTTTATAAATGTGATTTTATAAATATGTTTCTTCTGTTCTTATACTGCATCTCATTATCTAACTTTTCATGTACTACTTACTCGTCCAATTCTTTAATTACACTAACTTACAATTTTTCCAAACATTTCGGCTTCCACCAAGTTTACTACCATCATCTAAACATTTCTTCTTAATAACAAACTTTGCTTTCTATACACTTCTTCCATTACTTCACTTCTTCACCAATAAAAAATTATTACAGTTCCAACATTACAAAAACACTTACGCCACCACTCCTATCTTCTTAATCCCCCACTATACCACTTCTTCCCTAAAAATACTTTATCATCCCCACCACCTTTCTTCCTATATAAACCATTGAAACTTTCGAAGAGCATCACTTCATCAGAAGGGTCTTGCGGTTCTTTCACGTGTATCCATCGTCCTTTCACCATTCAGACAGACAACCAATACAATTGTACCCATCACTCGATTGCAATGCAAAATTTGTCGACGTCTTCGTGAAAGCTGTAACGTTGCAACAGGATTCTGTTGTCAAGAATGTCTTGATAACACACCTCTACTTTTTTGTCACAGCTGCAGAATGTATCACGTCGATGTTGTGAATTCCTGCTGTCGACCTTGTCGTTCCTTTCCTTTCCCCTTCTAAACTTTCCTTTTCAACACTTTTGACCTTGACACACTTCTTTACATATATATAACACTGTTACATGTTGTTATCATTAAATGTACTTCCACACCACCTTATCATTTATTTCATAACAAATTCTAGTATACATACATGTTTACGCTCCATCAACATTTACGATATTGTTACAAATTTCCCTCACATAACCTTCTTCAAATATAATCTTCCTCCTTAAATGATGGTTCTAGGTGCAAACAAATTCGCAACTGCAAATCTCACCGAATCATTCGTAAGGAGTGTGGACTTCGTCATGTAGGTGAACTTCTAACATCCACAAATTCGGTACTCGCGTATGCAACGATATTATTCTACCATTAGTCGCTCCATACCGACAACTCCCACACATTGGTAGATAACGAAGGTTATTTCTATCACAGTACAACAGAACATGCTTTATAGTTAATTTTGCACTCAAACAGTTTACGGGCTACGCTCCACTCTCTCATCCTCCTGATGTCACTTACATACCTCATTGCTTTATTTTCACTGTGCTGCTTTCTGTTTATGTAGTCTGCTCTATGTAACTCCACATAACGAACATCCACGTGCTCAACAATATTCCAATATTGTACGTCTTCCACAGCACCACATACTTCATGGATACAGTTCCCGCTACTTACATCCATTCTCACACTTTAATCTTCACACTTCTACCTTTTATGTACAACACTCCTTTGGATGTCTTTCATTTATACTACAATCCACTCAACCACCTTTTGTCCTCCTCCTAACGAATCCCTACTTCTTTTTAATGCTTACACTCACTGATATCACCTAGAGCCAATAACATCTTGTGACCACATGAAAACATTTAACAGTTACATGTTTAAGACCCATGACGTTTCGTCAGTTCCCTACTCCTTTGTGCCAGAAACGGCTATCATACAGTCTAACACACATACCAAAATATGATGACAATATATACAAAAAGAACACACGATCAAAACAAAGCAAAAACAATATATATACAAGAACAAAAAAATTAACCAAACCATTAAGAATAACAATAAACTAACGAACTGAGGTAAAACAAATAACTAAACGAGAATTAGATAACAGTGACTGAATAAAATTAATTGGTAAATAGACCCTAAAGTCTCCCTCGTCGGAGCCTTGTGGAACACCGGCTGTGACAGGTTTACTGACAGAGAGAGCAGAGCCGACGCGGACCCAAAGGCTTCTGTCTGTAAGGAAGGACTTGATAATCCCAACTAGAAAATGTGGAATGTTAACGGCGATGAGTTTTGAGATAAGGCCTTCGTGCCCGACTCGGCCGAACGCTTGTTGGACGTCAAGAAGAAGCATGGAGGTGTGACGCCGCTTGTTAAATTTGTCGGAAATGTATTTGGATACGCGAAGGTTGGTGGCCGGTGCCGTGATGCCTGCGAAAGCCGTGTTGATGATCTGGGAGAAGTTGTTTTGTTCCACGTGGTCTAAGAGCCTAACGAGAAGGATTGATTCAACTACTTTGCTCAACGAATTGAGCAGGCTGATGAGCCTGTAGCTTGAGGGAGAGCTGAGAGATTCACTTTTTTGGGTAGACAGATGACAGTGGCTTCATTCCAGACCAAAGGGAAGTGGTGGAGCCGCATGATGGCGCTTGTGATGTTGAACAGTGCGGCTATGTGCTTTGGCGGCAGGACTTTGAGGACTCGGTTTTGAATTCTGTCAGCGCCAGGGGCTTTCCTTTTCAGAGAACGGATAGTAAGGGAGATTTCACGAGGTGTAGTGTGTCTAAAGTCAGAATTTAGGGGAACGAAGTTCTGGAAGACGGCTTTCGTACGCTCGTGAAAGTCGGCAAGATCCGCTGGATTAGGTAGTGGGAAGCACTGGAGACATAAACAGTCTGTGAAGATTGCAATTTTTTCTTCCTCTGTTTTAGCGGCCGAAGATGGAGAGCTCTGTTACAAAGGGAATGGATAACTTTACAAGTGCTTCGGGGGTGTGTTTCTGACTGATCGATATAATCATCGAAGGATGCGCTGCGGAATTCAGTGAGACGAGTTTTTAGTTTTAGTTAAAGGGCGTTTACTTCTGCACGGTGTGCGGAGACGCGGTGTCTATTCTGCAGACGTCGGGCCTTGTTTTTTCTCTTAAGGAACTTAGACTTTTGTGACAAAAATGTCGAGGATGTCAGGGAATTGATTGTGGGGGACAGGGAGGAATGTGGGGCCAGGGGGTGCTTCAACTGTGAGGTTGAAGTCAAGAATTTTGGCAAGAAGGGAGGTGCCTTTACTATTGGTTTCTCGACAGCTCCAACGTGTTTAGACGTGTTTAGTGTTGACATCGGCTGCGACGACAGTTGGAACGCCCGGGGGGGTAGAAGGGAGAGTTCAGAAATGTCTCTGTCCGAAGGGGGGGGGGTTAGAGAGAGATAATCCTAAGAGTACCAGAAGTTAGCGAAACTTCGATGTTGACTGTTTCTAACGAGTTTGTGACCAAAGTGATAGATTTGTGCTTTAAACAATTCCTAACAAGAATGGCGACACGTCCGGCATTGCGGTTTTCACGGTTCTTTCCGTAGGATGAGAAGTGTGGGATAATTTTTTCGGACAGGTGAGTTTCGGTGATGCAAGCAACACCGATTGACTTTTACATGAGGAAGTGCTCGAGTTCAGTTAATTTACCTCTAATACTATGATCATTCCAGGTAACTATGCGAAGATTGTCTGGGTGGGCTGTCTTGCTACCATCGTGTGAAGGATGGCCTGGATCCTCTGTTCAAGAGAAGAATCTGTAGGGATGTTTGGGGACGCAGTACACTTTTGAGGGGGAGGGAGGCTGCTGTCACTGCCCTGACGTAAGATTTTCGGGGGAGCGTCTTTCCGGGGCGCTGGTTGTACGGACTTTGTGTGTGTTGTGTGCCAAGTTTGAAGATAGACTTAGACTTCGAGGATGATCTGTCCAGACGAGTGGACACTAAGAGCCAGATTTTTCAACCGTTGAACATTCGGTGGACGCCGCGGATGTCAAAGCCTTTATGAACAAGTCCGGCTTTGACATGTCTGTGGAAATGTCTTCGCAAACTCCACGGCGGACATCATGGAGATCGCGGTCTTGTTTCAGTTGGTTTGTACTAAACTCAACTTTGGATTCGTCGAGGAACGACGAGAGTCGACGAATATCGTCAACGGAGTTTGTGTAGACTATAACAGAGTCTGGCCCGACGAGTGGCGATACCGTAGTTGTCCATGGCGCGAAGAACTTTCAGCCAAAGGGACTTTTGGCGGATTTCGATGGGGGGAGTGGCTTTGGAGGTTTAAATGGTTGCGCCGGTCTCTGCCTCACAATCAGAGGACGTTGAGGATACGGAAGACTGGAAGGTGGTACGTCTTTGGCGCTTGTTACGCCGCTTCCCGGCTTCTGTGAAGCCGTCAGCGACAGTGAGGGGAGGTTCTGAATCGGATAATTCACTCCGTCCCAAAGAACTGTTGGTTAGTTATATTTTAAGTTGGTTAAACTTACCTAAAACGGTTGGGCAATTGTTGCAAACTTGTAGATATTGGTGAATATTAAACCACCTAGTTTAATATGTCTCAGTGATAACTGCCGCTTGTTGTATTCATCGGCTGCGGTAGCTGGTAAGAAAACGGAAGAAAATGCGATGTTATGCCAATTACAGCGACTTTTAAATCGACCGTTACTAGCTTTGAACTCTTTTTTTAACATTTTTAGCCG